GAGGCTGGGGGTGCTGGTGCCCGCGGCTCAGTGCCCTGCAGTGTGCGTGCAAGGTGTGTGCAAGGGGGGTGTGTGTGCACCGGTGGGAACTGCTCTCCCGTTTGCCGACGAAGGTCCCTGCGTGCGGCGGGGGGGGGTGGTGCCCTGCAGTGTGCGTGCAAGGTGTGTGCAAGGGGGGTGTGTGTGCACCGGTGGGAACTGCTCTCCCGTTTGCCGACGAAGGTCCCTGCGTGCGGCGGGGTGGTGTGAGCGGGGCGGGAGGCCGGGGGAGGTGGGCACCCCTCTCCCTGTGCCGGGTGGGTGTGAGCCGTCTCAGGCACGGGTCGGCGTGCAGTTAAACAGGGTGGGTTGCCAGGCTGGCAGGCGGCAAAGCTGGACTTTGTCCAGGACAAAGGGACGATCCATTCCCACCATGGGAAGGGGCAAAGGGCCCTTAAGACTTGTGCCCTGCTGCCAGCAGGCGGGAGGAGTGGGGACAAGGGCTGCTGGGGATGGAGCTGCTTCTTCCTCACACCTCCAGGCAGGTGCTCCAGGGCTGGTCGGAGTAAAGTGGGCTATAGGGATGCCAGGCAGCTTCCCCTGCCCCGGGAACGCGCTGCCTGCTTCGGTGCCTAGCTCTGCTCACCTGTGCCCAAGCATCCGTCTCCTCTGAAGCGATGGATGAGGCTGGCTCTGCAGACGGAAGGGCTCCTGGTGCTCCCTGGCCAGGCTGTCTTGAGGAACAGCCCTGAAAAGCCAGTACCAATGCTCCCAGGAGCAGCGCCTCCGAGGAGCAGCGCTCCCAAGTGGATGAACACCCAGATCCCAGGGGCCCCTCTGGCAGGGATTCAGATGCAGCCCGGAGAAGCGGAGTTGCGTGCTCTGAGAGGAGTGGGACCACGAGGGCTGGCTCTGCACACCCTGTGACACCGCTGTCTCCTTGGAAAGTGCTTCCCAAGCTCCTTCTGCTCTGGGAAGAACACAGCAGGAGTTCAGCTAATTGCAAACCATTTGTTTGTGACAGCAATAATTGGGATATCAGCGGCGATCGGAGCCTTTGGGAGCAGTCCCTGCCCACTCCCTGCCATGCCCCTCACCGACCATCCCCAGGGATGGATCTGACCCTCCTGTTGCTGTGCTGTTTTGTTGAACGGTGCTCCCTCAAGTGGGGTACACCAGCGGTATGTCCTCTGGCTAATGAGAGTTAATTGGGCAGTCAGTCGCCCCTGAGCAGGTACACTTGACCCTAAAGTGCCACAGAAGGGATTACTGTGTGAACATGGCGTAACGCTGCAGAGAACCTCGAGATTGAAATGTGCTTCTGAAGAGGGGCCACGGGAGTGTTTGCTTGGGATTTCTTTGCAACCATGAGTTTTCTCATGATTGGTGGATCGGAACTCCTGCAGCAACGCCCATTCTTGCACCCGGTGCCTGGATCATTCCCAACCAAACTGCATCAAACTCATTTGGGAATCTGAGACAGCACTTTGTAGCAACGGCATCATCTAAATCACAGCCCAGCTCCTTTCTTCACAGGGGTCTCGGATAAATCAGGGCTTGTTTTTCCAAGCCTTGCTCCCTGGGATGTCAGAAACAAAGCGCCAGGCTGCGCCCATTCTTGCACCCGGTGCCTGGATCATTCCCAACCAAACTGCATCAAACTCATTTGGGAATCTGAGACAGCACTTTGTAGCAACGGCATCATCTAAATCACAGCCCAGCTCCTTTCTTCACAGGGGTCTCGGATAAATCAGGGCTTGTTTTTCCAAGCCTTGCTCCCTGGGATGTCAGAAACAAAGCGCCAGGCTGCGCTGTGCAACCCCCTCCTCACCCGGCAAACGGCCGTTGCTGGAGACCGGGGTAGGTGCAGGAATGAAGGGTCCCCAGTGGAGTGACTGGCTTTGGCCCTTGAAGGGGTTGGGTGGGGTTATATTTTTACACTTTGCAAAATGAAAACCGTAATTTCCGGTGGAGGTGGAAAAGAGACGCTTGGTGAGAAACTGTGCCGTGGAGCTGGGCTGCTGAGATAGCTACAGGAGCAACGTGGCGTTCACCAGAAGGTTCTGCCTCCGCACCCTTTCCCTGCGTCCAAGTGGTGTTTGGAGACGGAGAGGCAGGATGCTCTCCTGGAGAGGAACTCCAGTGGGAGGAAGAGATGTGACCGACCCAGATAAGGAGAGGACAAGCATCCTGCCCTCTGATCTGCACCGCCTGCAGCAAGACGCTTGAGCAGTGATGGCTGCGCAGGTCTCCTGGGGATGAAGAAATGGGCCCTGTGGTGGGAGCAGCCCGAAGGGGAGAGGACCCGCAGCTCCATGTGCCTGCCCAGAGGATCTCCAGCCAGTTCCTGCCCATCCTAGAAGGCAAGCAGCAGCCGTGTCCCAACAGCCCCGGCCCTTTTACAGGGTGTCTCTGCAGTTTTACGGGTATCGTATCACCTGTTTGGGTGATAGAGTCATGGCCCTGGTGGGATTTGTCTGCCAAGAGGCATCTCATTTTAGCAAGGATTGGAAGCTTCCACAGCAAGCTTCGGACTCCTTCTCCCCGGAGAAGGGGAAAAAGGAAGTGCTGTTTTTTACTGTACCTAATAAAAAGCCAACATTTACAATGTGGAAAACTTTCTTTCAGGGCAACCCAAAGCACTTCAGACGTGTTCAAAGGAGTGCGGTGGTTTCAGTTCAGAGATAGCGGCGAAGCGGATAAGGAGCTACCGCAGGGCTGAACCCGGCTGCCGCAAACCAGCCGTCATGTAAGCACTGCCCCCTCTCTGTACCGCCCCCCCTCTGTACCACCCCCCCAACACCGACCGGGAGTGAGCCTGGCAGTAAACGCCCCTGTTCTGGGGCAATCTGGAAACAGAGTGAATGCTGGTGTTTATTGGAAGGGTGGGTGGGTTTTTTTCCCTATTTAAAGATCAGAGAAGCTGTGGATGCCCCATCCCTGGATGTCTTCAAGGCCAGGCTGGATGTGGCTTTGAGCAACCTGGTCTAGTGGAAGGTGTCCCTGCCCATGGCAGGGGGGTTGGAACTGGATGGTCTTTAAGGTCCCTTCCAACCCAAACCATTCTGTGATTCTATGATCAGCAGCCTCCAGGCGAGAGCAGGGGCTCATGCTCAGAGCGAGCCAGGGATAAGCGGATGGGGAAAGGGACTGATGGATGCCTGTGCCAGCAGAACAGGGCAGTGGGAGCACGCAGGGCCAGAGCTCATGTGTTCTGTGAAATCAGGTATTATCTCTGGAGACGGAGTCAGACTCCTGAGTTTATCTGGATATGGGGAAAGCTACACTTTTTTCCCCAGGAAAAAGAGCTTCCTGCTCGGAGCGCTGGAGGCAAACACTGCATCTGAACAATGCTTTCCAAAGAGAGAAACTTCTCAGGGATAAACCTTTCACCCATGAGTCACGTGCAGCTGCTCCTCATTCAATCAGAGCTCAGAGGCACCTGCCCTTCCTAAATAAATCATCCATCCGAGCCAGGGGCTTGTGTGAGTCAGTGCTGCTGCCTGTGTGCCTTCCCTATCACAACGATCATACAAACCAGTGTTTGCTTTATCCGCTAAGTGATCCCGTTGTATTTCCAGACTGGTTACGGTGAAGTCTGTGGAGATTTGTGCAGACCCAGCGGCAGAGTGGGTGAAGAAGATCGTGAAGAAGCTGGACCAGAAAAAGGCTGCAGCCTCCCTGCTTCCACATGATGCCCCCTCGACAGCGGCACCCCAACAGCCCGGTGTTTTTCAGAAACACGTTGGTCTTACCATAACAGCTCCATCTCAGTCCACTGCCCCAGCTAGTGACTCCCAAGGGACTGGCACAAGAGTCTGGGAGAGAACACACGTTCCTGCTGCTGGGATGGAGGTGAGCAGCCAGACCCCACCAGCCGTGCAGGACACCAGCCGGCTCCCTGCAGGGGCGTCCCCCGTGATACGGGAAGGTGATGCCCACTCTGAAGTCACTCCAGAAGCAAACAGAAGTTCCTTAAAATCTCCTCTACCTTCAACAACTGTGGCAGCAGGCATGGTCTCCAGCCAGCCCACCCCATATCCCACGGCACTTGTCCGTGGCTTTGACAACATCGTAGGCTCTGCGGAAGAACCTGTGGGACATACCGCAAATGCTACAGCCGACGTTCGAGACGCGGCTTCTCCCAGCTCACATGCAGACCCCATGGCCATTACTGAAGGATCACACCGTCCTGTACTTCCTACAGATGAATCCCTGGACCCTACAAGTGCAGGAGCCATCGCACCAGACACTGGTTCCAGCAGTGTGAGCTCCGACCTCCCCTCCACCCTGCCCGCAACTGAGATCACCACAGTCCCAGCCACACCGCTTCCACCAGCCACTGCTTCAGCTTCCACTCAAAACTCCACAACAGCCATAGGCAAAGGTCCTTCTGGCCGTACCGACGAGGTTGTCAGTTCCTCTGCAGGTGCTTTTGGTACTAGAACATTCGATTTTTCACCACCTGTAGGAAAGCGAGAGCCCTCGGATACGTTAGTTTTCACTAGTCAAGCATTCTCAGGCCAAGCCAGAGTGCGGATGACTACGGACAGACCAAACGGTCTGCCTCTTCCCAGCTTCTCGTCAAGATCTCAGATGCACTTTGTCATCCCAGTTTCTGTGGTAGGTGGTCTGATGGCTTGCAGTGTTGCTGCTGTATGGCTTTATCTAAAATTCGGCGTCAAAACAGAGGAAATGTCAAGAGAAATGGTACAGGGCTTGCTCTACCAGCATAAGGGGCATCAAAACAATGTCTATCCCATGGAAGTAATCTGAATGCTTTATAGGATGGACATTTTTGGCCTAAACCATATGTGTGTTGCTGCAGGAAAGGTAAGTTTACGCTGAACCTCTGTCCAGTAGGAAGCAAGTCAGGGAATAAAAATACCAGAGAAAACTGATTTTTTTGCAGAGCACAATATCCAAAAATACATCTAATTCGTCACTGACCAACGACGGTATTTTGGAAATAAGTGAAACGCTTTTTTTTCCCATGGCACTGTTATGTACCAAGGCTGTTGCCGCTGTAGAGCTGCTTGGTGGCTCTTTGCCAGGTGGTGGGCAGAAGTGAGTTTCCAAATTGCTGTTGGGAATTTTTCTGCCCCGCTGAGAAGCCAGCGCCCGCTCACCCACGCTGCTGGGCTCGGGCTCAGCCACCTTCAGCAATCTTAACACCAAAACCCACACCATTTGCACTTAGAACTCTCTGCTGCTGCTTCCTTGGCACTTCAGGCTGCTGCTCTGTCAGACCGAGACCCGTGCTGGTGGTCAGCTGCGGGCTGGCTCTCTGCGGCTGACCCAACACCCCGCTTATGCCGGAGCCACGAGGGGTAGCCTAGGTTTCCAGACAGAGGTGATGAAAACCGTCCGATTAGGGGATGGCAGCTCGGATTTAACGTTGGGAAGAGCTGCCAACCCACAATCTATCTCCTCCTTGCAATCAGCCCACCTTCCGCTCCCGCAGCTACGGGCATTTCTTCTTGCAGCCTTAGTCTGAGACCCGGTTCTTGGCAAACCAACTGCAGCAAAACCCTTCTGCCAGCTGATGTGCCCCGTGTCCAGCTGTGTCCAACACCAGGGCCGTGGGTGAAACTTTGCAGATGGGAGAAAACCAAAAAGTCACCCAAGAATTTTGCTATTCCTGATAACATGGGAGGGGGTTTGCTGTTCTCTGCCAGCGCAAAACCCAGGACACACGCCCTTGGAGGAGCTAAATGCAATTCCTGATTTAGGCATCTAGGAATTACTCCACCACAGCGGATGTACCCTCCTTCTGGCCTCATATTCTCTCTAGAAATAAGCACATTTGCTGATCCACAAAAAAAAAATAAAGCACAAAATGCCTGTTCATGGTCCTGCACTTCAGGCACATGCTAGTGCTGGTTTTGGATAGCACCGATCACCAGGCTGTCAAAGCACCGTAACAGTACCAGACCTTTTTTTTTTTTAACCCCAATTGTTATGGAATTTTACACATCCAGACACTGCTCTATGTCAGCTTTATCTTGTGTCTGGGGTCACTCCCTGAAAGCTCTTATTAAACATTGACCCCAGGATCAATTTTTCTGGAGCGTGCAAAGGTCCACACGATATGATGCTTTGTCAGTGGTGACACGTAGCAAGGGTCAGATCCTCCCCTACCCAACCTCGGCGGATCAGATCCCAAAGTACAAATATGCATGCAGGAAAAAAACAAACAAAGCAAAACCACATCATAAACAAGATAACGAAAGCAAAAATGATGGGCCAGCTGTAAAGCAGAGCTAGAGGAAGGAAGCTCATCAGATCCATGGGATCGCACCTTCAGGGCATCTATCCAGCCCTGGAGCCGGAGAGGACAGACTGCAACGGCGTTTGCTGTCTGCCGTCAGCCAACCCCTGATTTCTGTGCCACGCCGGCTGGGGGTGATTCACCTGGAGGGTTTCCTGATTTACCTGCACCCTGGAGGGTAAATTTTATATTTTCCTGATACCTTGGAGGGTAAATCAGTGGGTGTCAGTGCCACCTCTTTGCCCGCCCTGCCTGTGCACGGCTGGGTTGGTGGCCTCGCCGTTCGTGAGACGGTGCACGACGGCATTACTTTTATACCAAATGCTAGAAATACTATTTTTGTAGTAAAGTTTTGTAGCCGTTTGAATGTATGTCATGTCCTTGCTCCTGGAGCATTGCGGGGTTGAGACCTTTCTGGGAACACTGGAAAACACTGTGCCTTGCACGTTTTCTTGCTGGTTGTGGATGGTTTGTGCACATCCATGGGAGCTGGGTGGCTCTCCAGGCAAACGGAGTGGGCGCTCGTCTGGCTACGGGTGAAGCCCTCGGCTTGGAGCGATGCTGGGGAGATGAACATGCACCAGGCAGACCTGATCCCTCCAAGTCACACCATGGTATTTGTAAGGTGGCAGCTCCACGGCTGGCTCCCACCTGCCATGGTGATGCTGGCACTCAGCCGGAGGAGCTGCTCCTCCAGCCTGGATCCATCCTTGGGCTCGTGCTGCTCCCCTCTCCTGTTCGTTAGCAGCTGGGGTGCTGGCACCCCTCACGGCAGGAGGGGACCCTCCGTGCTTTACGCTGCACGATGGGCAGCCTGGGCACGGGGTCAACGCCAGTGTAGAGGGACGGGGCCTGTGGGTGTCACCAGCTCCCGGGGGCTAAACTGACGTTTGCTGCAAGGCGCAGTGACTGTTACAAGCTCCAGCTCGCCTGTGTACCGAGTCTGTACGGCCGTGCGCGCGAGATGTATGTTCTGTACCTTTTTTTAGAAGTAAAAGCAATAAAGTCCTCTTGTTAAAAACTTGTCTCCTCGGGAGATTCCTCCATGAGCTGGTGACGAGCCTGGTCCCTGCAGAGGTGCGGAGACGGGCGCGTGTGGTTAAGCACTGTGGGGTAACCCCCGCATTGCCGAGAGCCGGCAAAGCCGTCGCAGCTGGTGCGGCCGGGCTGTCGCTCCACCTCCTCACTGCTGAAGGGCTTCGGTCTTGCCAAAAATTTGCAGGGAATCCATTTGCCTTCCAGGGAGTCGCATCCTGCTAAGGCAATACTGAAGAAGCAGCGGGGTTATTGCTCTGTTTAGGCAAAGCCACAATCAAACAGGAACCCACACAAAACAAACGCTGTGCTCCAAGTGGGTTCTGCAAGGGGGGGAGAAGCCAAGGGCTGAGCTAGGACCTCTCCCACCCCAGCCAGGCTTTGGGGGGCTCTCACGTGCTCCTCTAGCGTCGGGGGAGAGGTGGGAAAGGCGACGCAATGCAGGAGTCAGTGCCCAGGGACACTCCAGGATTGGGGGGGTTGGAAGGAGCATGAGGGTCAGGGATGAGCATCTCCCCTGCATCCCTCCCTCATCCCAGCCACCCATGGCCCCATGCCACACGGCCCCATGCCCCATGCTCCGGCACTGCCAGCGTGCTGGGACGATGACAAGGTCCCTGAAAACTTCCCCCGGATGAATCACCAGGCCAGAAAGGTCACTCTGGGGGTGAGCAGCTCTGCGGAAAGAAAAGCACTTTCTTTTTTCTTCTCTTTTGTCCTCCCCAGTACGGGGGCAGGCGAGGGAAGGAAGGCTGTGTAAACAAGCCAGTCCCACGGCGATGAATCACATCTGACGCCAGACAGTCGTCGGGGGCTGCACCAAGGGAGCGTTTGGCTGCCTGGTCCCCGGGCTGGCTGGTGGCACCCACTTGCCAGCTTTCCTGCTGCTCCCTGGCTTCTCTGTGTCTGACGGCGCTGGGAAAGACCTTGTGCACAGGATGTGTGCAAGTACAAGTACAGGCTGGG